TCTCGGTGGGTTTCCTCGGTCGTGACGTGAAGTAGGATAAGCTAGGTACGGAGTACGGAGCATGTGTGTAGCCAAATCAAATCAAATCAAATCAATCAATGAATCAATCAATCGGTTACGTTGTACGGAATTGGGCATGTATACAGACACAGCTGAGAAAAGAGAGGGTCGGCTGGTCACTGTGGGAAGACTAATGGGGCGTGGAGAGATTGGATGGATTGAGCGACTTGGACGAGAAACTTGTTTTCTCCTCTCCCTGCCTGCTCGTTCCTATCTTGCATCTACATCTACATGTACATACCTAGGTAGTTACGTGTGAGGAGGGAGAATGAATGGTTGGATTGGGCTTGTTTCTGCATGATGAAATAAATGCCCAATTATTTTGAGGAATATGGAGCTATACCATATTGAACCATCTGATATATATGTATTGTCCTGCGCAAGAAGGCGGTGGTAGGTACAGAATAGTTACCCATTAGTTTCTTTCTGGCTGTTGGGATCGAGTCAAGTTTGACAGTTGTAGCTACTCCTTACGTGTAGGAACACAGAATAAAAGTAGTAGTTAGGCATCTAGCGGTTCACGTCCGTATCTGCGATTCGTGTAAGCCCACAATTCAGACTCCTACTAAGGTATGCTGTGCTAGGCCTTGAAGCCTCTGTCTGTGAGAGGGGGAAAAAAAAGGACAAAAAAACGTTGAAGTGTGATGGGGGCCGTGACGTCAGAGGCTGCGGTAAGGGTCCCCGGCTCCGTTGCTGCAAAGACCCGGCCGAGCTCCACCCGCTAAACGTCATCGATGAGCTTGTTCATTCGCTGCCGCAGATGGCCGAACAGGGACAAGCGCTGCGTACCCACTCTCTTCCCTTTTTGACTTTTGTGTGTGGAGAGAGTTAAGGTGGGGGCGTCTTTGGGGCGTGAGTGTAGAGGACTTGTCCAAGATACATGACAGGGGGTCACTGACGGGATTAATTAATTTGCGTTTAGTCTCTGGTTGATGCCGGGACATGGGTGGGTTTTGACTGAAGCCGGGCTAGTCAGCCTACGCTATGCTGTTGAGCTAGGGTACAGTAGCCAGTCAGTCACTCAGTCTGTCTGCTTCAGAGAATAGTATGTATGTATGTACATACATACAGCAGAGGGCGGGCAGAGAATATCAGAAGCCGGTCCAGGGACAAACATCACCACTACTGTAGGCAGCCTCTTAATCTATAACGTCCCAATTGGTGAGTTCCTTCATCGCTGAATGATGCTGGTCTCATCTGATAGGGATAAGTTGTTGCAGGCAATTTACCACGCCTAGCTAGGAGTATCTTTGTCGTATCACTGGTGTCATCACGCATCCGCAACCAACGCTCTACTCTACTATCCTCTATGGTATATACCACTCTGTGATGCGATGCCACTACATTATCACTTTCCGTGGTCACCTGTCGGGCTGGTTCCGGCAATACCACAGTACAGTGTGTGCTCAATGTAGCGTGAACCACCCATCACCAGAGCACACTCTCACAGCCTTGTCGAGTACACAGCTAGTAACGTGCTGTCGTCGTGTAAGTGGGCACACAACGAAAACGAGGCCCATGGGGATGCTAACTCAAGAACAGCCAACCAAGCTTCCCCCTTCTTGAACCATGCCAGCCAGCCCATCCGTCAATGGCAGACCCTTCCTCCTCGTTTTGCCACTCCAGGAACAATCACGAGTCGAAAGGGGAGAAACCCCAGGCTTGTTTTCCCATGCACACTGTGACACTGTATACACTCTCAGCCTTGGTCACCCAAAGTGGAAACAACACCAACCGCTCTATCGACGGATGTCTACATACCCGCATTCCCTCCAAACGCTAACGATACCTTGGGGCGCTAGGTCTCTCGACTTTTCAAGCTAGCAAGCCTTGTGAGAGACACAAGGAGCAACAAGGTTGAGTGAGACACGAAACGAAACAAAAGAAAGTCCGCCAGTTCCTCCCTATCTCCTAGACTAGGTAGCCTCCCTCGTAGTTACATGCCAGGCAACTGTTCTACCTGCTGAGACTGCTCCTTGGCCTTGGCTTTCACTGGGGCCCAAGCTTTGCTTTTTTTCAGCATTGACTTCTTCCGTGGCTTGCATTTGAGATGGTGTCCTTGCGCTGCCATTTCTTCCATTCGGCTACTCTGGCGGTGGATTCTGGCGTCTTCTAAGATATAGGCTATTCTCAATCCAGCGCACCGCAATTCAGTCTCCTCCCCATTCCCCTGATGGCATTGCTGAGAATGCCATCCTCATCTTTCACTTGCTTACTCTAAACGTATGACTGGACTCTCACAGAGAAGAGGGCATGTTGTTCCGATCACCACATCAGACATTCAGGTGCTCAATTGACTATACACCTCTTCTCATCCTAGCAATCATTCTAATCAGTCAAAAATCTCTCATACAGACATATGTGTGAGAAGAATTTGTGAGCCTCTAACAACCCCTGGAAGATCCTCTCTGTTCCACCCCGCTTTCTCTGGTTATCTCCAACTCCCTTCTGATACTGTACCTATTATACCCTCTGTCACCTGACCCTCCCCTAGCTCTTCCTCGCTGACTAAATTAATCACCCACCCACCATCCTTCTCCTCATCTCGATTCACCTTGACTATCCCGGCCTCTGTCAGCAACGTTCATTTGTCGTCGGCTTTTTCTTGCCTTGCCTCTTAGCAGATTCATCTCCACATATGCTGCTCTTCTTCAAGGATGAGCAATTGGGCGGGGTTTAGGGCCTTGCAGTTGGTTGCTCTCCCGTCCCAGCGCCCAACCGATGTGACGTGTAAATCCAGTACTGTACATACAGTCCTGCCTTGGCTTTGACAATCGCAGTGAGAGGCTGTCAAAGGGTAAGATATTGTGCCAAATCGGTCCATTCTGCGCCCTGGCTCGTCCAAACCTCAGCCTCCTCGAGGAGATCTGCACGGCTTTGATCTAACCATCAAATAAGCAACCATTGCGGCCGCACATCACAACCACTTGAGAGCTACAAGCGCGGATTAAGGTGTTGGATCATAGCCAATATTCAACAAAAGCAAGCCTCAAAACAAAAAAAGTTAACGGCGCCTAAGCTCGATTGTAGGTGAGAGACAGCTGGCCTCGAGACCTCGACTACTGCTTGTTCTGTCCTCCTACATAGTGTTAGGGCGACACAAATCCTGAATCTGACCCATTTATCCCCAGAACCCTCTTTCTCGCAGCAGCTAAGATGTGGGCTGGTTTGGTTCACAAGAGATAGCTTCAACTATGGAGGCTATGAAATCATCGTGGACAGAAGTGTTGTTCTTACATGCTCATCACCCTGGGCAAGTGTCTGAGGACCAGTGGCTGGCTTCCAAAGGCTGCAAGACCGCTTCGATCACCTTGGCAGACATCAGCAACGATAACATCGTGCATGATGCCAGCCGGTCTGCCAGTGGAGGTGAATAAGTTGGTCTGTGAATGGATCCCGTTCCATCTTTTGGACAACAGCTCCCAACCGCGAGAACCAAGAGCTTAAGACAAAACCCATATCCCTTGTTCCTCTCCCTTTCAGAAACAAGATACATTTGTATCTTGTTAGCTTGTCACTTCTGACGACCCAGCCATGCATCAGGGTGCATGCTAAAGGCAATGCTTACACGCGGAGCACGGCACATGAAGCACAACAAAACATCATGATGAGAATTCCACCTTGAGCCTTGTGCTGAGCACGCACACCAAGTGTCTCCACCAGAAGATCCAACAAATGCCCACGTGCAATAACAAAGATGATAGACACGCCTTTACTCTGTATGGAAAAAGAGAGACGTACGCGGGATTCAGCCAGATCCCCCCTCCACATATAGCCACTCAGAGGCACAAGGGGATACTTAGTGAGTGTCGATCACACCGTGCCTCCCCCTCCACATCAAACTTGCGCGCGTTCCTTGCTGGTATTGTCGACTCAATACCCAACCGCCTTCGGCTTGTATTCAGAACCAAGAAAATGTCGAGGGAACAATTCCGTGACACGATCCAAAGGTTGGGCGGCACGGGCCCCTTCTCCTTCCCCTCTCCCCTGACTCAAGGCGAAGACGACAGGAAGATGGGGAGATCCCTATGGATTGAACTCTGCATCTGCCGGAGTCTTGCTCAAAAGTTCCTCTTGAAGTGTGGATGAGCCGCGGGCCCGGGTGTTGACTACCGAAGAAATGCAAATGGTTCCATCCGTGCATGATGGCCTATCAGTTCGATGATACATCCTGAACTGTCTGCTCTGTTGAAGTCATCACACCTACGGTGTAGGTAGAGACAAAGTCGTTGGTATGGATAGCCAATCTAAGCCAGCCTTCCATGGTTTTGGGAACCTTTCAGGCCCAAGCGTCCGGCTGAGATTCATGGCGACCTGAAAGGTAACATGCTCAATTCGCCAATGTTACTTTCGGCTGCTGACTTATGGAGAATCCTCTTGGTGAGAGGACTGTCAATAAATCGCCGCCAAGCTAATGCCTAGCTAAACTGCTGCCTTCGGATGATCGTCGCTCTTCTTAATGAGGTGAAACCACCAGCTCGGTTGAAGGACCCAAAACTCTGCTTCATCCCTGTAGCTGTAACGAACATGCGAAGTCGGAGGCTCCGCTGTGAGGTAAGGTGAGATGAGAATTGAAATGAGTGCTACACCAGTCTTGGCAAATCATCCGTTCATTGACCCAGAGAGCGGTCAATACTCAGATCATTGTTAGGTAAAAGGGGTTGGGAAGCAAGCCGACATCGTTCACATGGTTATGAGATAGGAGATTAGCACTCGATGCAATGCAACTAGACATTCGAAACATTGAAGCCGTTTTTATTATCTATCAGAACGCCCTGACGCATGCAATACCCCCCTTTCAGCGTACAGCATTTCGAATTACTAACCTCCCTGTATCCATCCATACCTAACGCAAGAAAAGAAAAGTCCTTGGAATAAACCCCTGCTATCACCAATCGAAGTATCCTCATGAGATCAATCTTCCTTGCCTATACAAATTGTTACAGCACAATCGCCAGCTCCGGTCTATCCATCTTGTCTTCATCAAGATTTGGGTAATATGGCACCATCGCGTCAGCCCCCTGAACGTATGCATCGTTGTACAAGCGCCAGTATGGGGTTCTGACCTTTCTTGCCGGGTGGAACAGGCCTGCCCAGACGTAGTTGAGCACCAGGCCTGGCCCGACTGCCATTCGAATGGCCTCAATGGCCTCCACGATACGATCGATGACGTGTGGGCTAGTCTCGAAGAGATTTGGGTACAGAAGGTTGAGGAGATGCACCATAGCGTCCTCACATCCAAGACCAACCACACCCAAAGCAATATGCTTGACGACGGAAGCTGCCGTTTGACGGTGGACCTGATCACGGTCGATGAGAGCGTCTTCCAGTAAGGGAGTCACTGCGTAAACGTAGTCCTTTGCCATCTCTCCAATATACTCGAAAAGGAAGGAAAGTGACTTGAGGACACCATTCTGCACATTGAGCTCTGGTACACGATACTCGTTCATGAGAGCAGGAAGAACTGTAAAGGGAGCACAAGTTTCGGCCACGATACCAATGGCAACAGCCGTGTTTACACGGGACTGGCGCTCCTGCACGCGAAGGTTGTTCAACAGAGTTGCCAACACATCCTGAGGACCAATAGCTTTGGCAATGAAACCAAACGTATTGTTCGCAGCTCGTCGAATTCCCTTCTTGTGAGCCTTGAGCATATCGAGCAGTTCAAAGCAGATTCGCATCCATTCTCGGGCATTGACACTCTCAGGTCCCCGATCCGCAATACGGCCAACAAGGTCAATCGTATTCTCCTGAACCTTTTCGTGACGGTTTCGCAGGATAGGGGTCAGTCGTGGTAGCAGCTCCTTGATAGGTGGTTGCATTTGTGCAATACCAACAACCGTGACAATAGACCGCAAAGCACCCAAGATAGATCCGAGAACTTCGGGATATTCTTCGCCCAGATACTCGTAGAGCACAACACCCAGCTTACCCATGAGGGCGTCCTCGCCACACTGCTTCATAACCATGGCAATTCGAGAGATCAAATCTGCGGCCTGTTGTCGAACCGTCGCCGATTTGTTGTTGAGTCGCCATAGAATAGTACTGACGATTTGAGGGATGTAGGGCTTGCAGCGGGTTCCTAGGGCATTGACAACAGAACCAAAGCCGTTCAGCATGATAATATCTTCGACGCTCTGCTCCTGAAACGCGTGAAGGATACCGTCCACAAGCCGCTCTTCTAAGCGCTCGCCGATATCTGCTGCACCCAAGCTTGCAACGATCTTCTCCACCGTTTCGACAGTCATTTTTCGGTATGGTTCGCTCTCGTCCTTGAGATTGTTGACGATCCTCTCCACGATTTCACTGACTCCAACCTTTTGGCCGATGTCGACAGTTGTTTCCACCACCTGTCGATAGTTTCGCTTATCCAAGGCCATTCTTCGTACCCAGAAGCTCTTGAAAAACTCGTCCAAAACGTGTTCCTTAAGGTATCCTGCAGTGACACCATCCGTCCCTGCGCACTGAGAGACAACCTTGAGAACCACCTTCTTCATTTCTTCGTCGGGTGACGAGAATTCGCGAAGCAGGATCTCCATAATTTGGCTGGTATAATAGTTGGCATACTCCTCGTCCATCAGGGGGATGATGTATCCAACAGCCTTGAGAAAACCAGCAAGACCTTTGCCCCGCTGCTTGCGAGCGCCCGTCCATAGAGGGTTAAGGATGTCGTCGAAGCTCTCGATACCGTAGGGGTTAGAGGCCTCAGCCAATGCGGCAATGGCCAGACTGGTGACTGTCCTAACCTTTGTCTGTTCGTCGTTGAGGTTAGGCCCAATACACTCAACAAGACCCTTGAGGTGAGGAAGCACGGCACAGCCCATTAGAATAGGGATTTGCTGAACGATCTTCACACCCGTGTGGCGAGCTTGCCATGACTTCTTGCTTCTACAGACAGCCCTGAGGAAGGGTAGCAAAGCAGGGATGCCAAGGGCTGACGCTACCACTGCAAAAGCTCGTGCTGTTGTGTTCCGGACGTATTCGTCGACGTGGTCAATATCAGGTCGCATAGTGCTAATCATGGTAGCAAGACCAGCAGCCTTGCTAAGGTTAGAAATGATTTCGCGTCCCTCCACTCTCGCGTAGTAGTCTTGGTCGATGAGCAATGGCTCGATAACGACCAGGATCTTGTGGACATAGGGGCGCACAAGGTCGTCGAGCTTGTAGAGAATTCGGTCAATAACTTTCACCAGCAAATGGCGCTCTTGGTCTTCCAACGTCTTCTCCATGAGTAGGGGCAGGATTTGGTCAAACAGAGGACCAGCTCCGAATTGCCTGGCATTATCGGTAATCTGGCGAAGAGCAGTCTTCCTCATGGGGGGAGTACCGTTCTTGATCTTCAGCAGAAGCCTCATGATCTTCCTCTCCTTCAGCTCTTCAACCGTTAGAGCATTCTCGTCAGAACCATCGGTGAGCTTTCCGAAATACGCCATGTCTTCGGCCTTAAAGAACTGTAGGTCGCCTACGCCAGGAATCTCAGCAGGCATTGGCTTTCCACTGAAGCGTACTTGTTCAGGATCTTGCATCATGAAGCCTGATTGGGGAGCAGGGGTGGCCATAAGCTTGTGTGCTGGGGCGCGGACAGGTTCGTAGCCAGGGGGAGGCTCAAGAATCTTGTAACCCTCGCTTTCGCCGGGTAGGAGGAGGTCGAGTTCCTCGTCGCTGAGAGGCATGTTTCGACCAATATCGGTACCAAAAGTTGTTGGCAGAGTGGGTGCGGATGATGGGTGCGCAGGAGTAGCTAGCCCTGTGTTGCCCATGGGCGTAGCAGAAGGGGCCTGATCCCATCGCGAACGCTTCTTAGAAACCTCTGCTCCAGGCGCAGGAGCTTGATCCCATCGTGAACGCTTGGGCTTCGCTGCCTCGCCGGCCTCAGCCGTATCATCCTCGGCGGGTGCCGACGACACATCCCATCGCTTCTTGCGCTTTCGAGCAGTCGAAGAAGCATCGGTAGCTTCAGCCTCGACATTACCACCGGTTAGCATGGGCTGTGCATCGCTGTCATCACCAGTCTTGCCCTCCTGCTTCGCTTTGATGGCTTGCAAAACGCGCTGCTCCTCCCTTTCTAGTTCACGAGCCTCCATAATCTCGCGGTAACTGGCGCCATTCTCAGAAGCGCCAGCCTGGCGATTCTCGGCAAAGGGATCGGCGCGTGTGGGAGTGAGGGCGCGATTGAATCGGCGCTTTTGATAATCTGTCTCACGATCGACAATTCGACCACTCTTCTCGCCTTTCCCAGCAAGGATATCATCTTCCTCCACGCCACCTCCACGAGCGAACTCATCAATCATCTCTCGCGATGCGGTATACTGGCCAACTAGCCGTCGCGTGTCGTCACCATCGCCCATGTCTTCATCGTCGTCACCCATCGGTAGCGAGGTGTGATACCCGGAAAATCTATCAGCTCCATCACGATCGTAGAGGGTACTGTCGGCGCTGTCGGTCAACTTTTGCTTAGTATCGTCGACTCGCTGATTTGCTGCATCAAAGGTTCGCGAACCCTTGTTACCAGCAGAGGCGGCATTTCGCTCCTGCTGGAGCTTCTTGATGGTCTCGAAATCTGCGTCAGACATTTTGAATTATGACATTCGCAGCTTCATCCCGGTTCGAGAGGACAAGGGGCGCTCGAGGCGTTATCGTCGCGCATGGAGAGTTGAAAGTAGATGATGGGTGGTCGCAAAATTACACTCCTTGACGAAGCTTTCCTAGGTTGGGGGGCGATCTTCTCCACCCGAGTTTTAGCCGCCTGCTTAGATTCATACATGTGCCCGCTTACTGGAAGAGGCCAATTGTCAACAATGCTTTGACCTCTGGTAAGAAGTATTACACATAACGAATAGGGAACTTGGAGTAAAAGGAGCTTTAGAATTGAAATATTATGACGAAGTGCCCCTAGAACTTGCATGTATCTGAGGTCACATGTCGAGAAACGGCAAATCGAATCATACCATACATCATCCTGTATTCTGTACCTCAAGCAGGAAATACATAACGTAGCCATGGCATAATGCCAAAGGTCCTCAGATTCAGGGGAAATATAATTATCTGCTTGTGGTGCGTCTATAGGCGTAAGTCTTATCATCTAGGACTCGCACTCACCAACCCACCCTTGCAAACCAAGTATTCAATATTTATAGATTGCCCAACTTCGACATAGCAGCGATTAGATCTACTTCTTGCACTCATCCTAAGTAGACGTTGAAAGATACTCTTACGAAGTCCGCACCCGTTTTGACCTTCTCATCTGTTTGACCTCCTCCAACCCTTGCTCATCCGTGGGTTCAATGACTGGTGTTTCTTCCTTTACCAATGCATCACTGTCGGTAATCGTGATTGTCTTCTTCGTTTTTGATCTGGTATGTTCTGTGGAACCATGCGCCGTCAGTTTGATCACAGTAGGCTCATCCTCTTCTTTTGCAGCCTGAGCTGCAAACTCTCTCAAATCAGCGGTAAAGAGAACTGAGTGAGCCCAGCCGGCAAACGGCCCCCAGAGGCTTCGGAAGTGGTCCCCAACAGCCTCATAAGTGGCTTTGTTCAATGTCTTGGCCTTTGATTTTCCAAACTTGTAGTCTCGCTGAGCGATCTGCCAAACATGGGTGTCGACAGGAACTGCCTCTCCCCAGCCGAGGCCCATGAGGCATACACAGTCGGCAACTTTGGGACCAACCCCTTTCAAAGTGAGTAGTTGCGCAAGTGCCTCCTTGTAGCTCGCATGCTTCTCCTTCGGTACAGGCGTTGTGTTGAAGCCTGGTAGGTCAGGATTTCGGAGGCTTTCCAACCAGGTTTCAGGCTTCTCCTTAGCAACCATCCGTGCTGTTTCAGCAATGTACTTTGCCCTATATCCGAAGCCTAATTCTCGAAGATGCGATTCAACATCATCTCCTGTAAGGTCTTGAGGCGATGGGAAGTCATGGAATGGCTCGTCTCCCATGTATGCAATGAGGGGACCGTAATTCTGACACAGCTTGTGCACCTTGAACACCGGATCAATTATGATTCAGACCTTGGCAAACGATCCACACTCACCATTTGTGATATCCGCGTGATATTGTTGTTGCTGCTACAAATAAAACATATCAATGTCTCCCAGGCATCTTGACCGAGAATTCGAACCCCTTTAAATTGGGGTGCCCTCTTTTTAAAGTTGGCATCAGCATCTGACCATTGTTTGTACAGCGGTTCGAGACTAGTATCCAGGTTGAAATAGTGCCTTAGGAGAGCCTCTGTGTTGTTGGGTGCTGGCGTCAAAGGTTTGGGTGCTGGAAAGGTGACCCGATAGTGTAGATGAGTTGAGTCCTGCTTCAAGTGAAGAAGTCGACCATGCAAAGTGCAGGTCCTGAAAGTGTTAGCATGATTGACATGCTGCAGTTTGGACAGTAACTTACCATTCATGGTTAATCTTTTGCCATCTAAAAGACTGCCCACATCTCAAGGTGGTGTTGATACAAAGCTCCCCTAGAGTAACAGGCAATTTATGCCAATCCGTCTTACCCACGACAGACATTGAGAAAAGGATTCAGCCCGACTACTCTTCTTAGAGAAGTATTAGCAAGAAAGGTACGACAAGAGAACGAATTGGCAGCTTGAAACCAACACTGCCTCTCGTTGATCTCCAGTAGCGAGTCAAGGCTGATGATGTAATTGCGCTATGGTGAATGCTGTAGCCCCTGAAACTTGAAGCCTACCCTCGGGGAGCAAGAAAACATCGGACTTTGATGTAGGGTGCCAGAATAAACTCAGCAAAAAGTGTCCTAAACTTGTGCTACGTTACCTAAGTCTTTTTGTCATTTATGATCAAGCCTGAGTTTTCTTTCCTCCCCTTGGCTACGTGAATACATGAGCCAAAATTCAACATTTAGAAGTTTGTGAACAGCCGCCTGTCGTATTGCTAATACAATAATTCTGACTTTCATAGGTTTTACTTAGGGGCATATTTAGGGCCAGTCATGGCATTTTTTAAGTACGAATAACATATATCATGAGTTTTCTTTATTCTCGACACTGTTTAACTACCTACCTGCTCGAGTTTTTCGCAAGCTGCCCAAGCCTAACCGAGAGGCCAAGTCCTAAAAAGTGGCGCTAGGCCCAAACTTACAAACGTTAGCGCCTCCTTGCAAAAAAAGCTCCAGCCTCGCGCGATGCCTGCCAGCTCTCTGAAATTAGAACCTCGTTGCGGCTTGAATCAACGAATCCGCCTTCCAACCATTCGCAGTCATCAATTTCAGAGAATACATCCAAGCTCTGGAGTCGCTTGTCGCTGCTAAAACTATGAACGGTGACAGCTATTCTTCCCGAGGTAAGTCCTGCTGCAATGTGATACTTGATCGCGTCGCGTCGCTAAATCCTTACGACATAGATGGGCGCAGGGGACGAGATTATCCTGTAAGCAATCCATATCATCCTCTCGAATGTGATTCAAGCTGATTCCGTTTAGCCTAGAGGAGAAAGAGGTGATAGAGACGATCGTCGAGACCGACACCGTGACCGCGACCGCAGACGATCTCGCTCACCCGAGCACCGAAGCCATCGACGAGGTGAAGGCGATGTCGATGCCTACTCGTCCAGCCGAAACCACCGCGATCGTGAGCGTGAAGACAGATACTCGGGCCGCGAAAGACGAGGTGGCGATCGTGAGTGGGATCGTGATCGAGGATCATCCCGTCGAGATGCCAGACGCGACGACGATGAGCGGCCTAACAGGCGAGACCGAGATCCCTACGAAGACCGTCGTCGCGGTGGAAGAGATCGACGTGAGGACAGATTTCCAGCACAGCAGGAGCGCCGTAGCGCGAGCCCACCACCTAAGAAGCGAGAACCAACTCCAGATCTTACCAACATCGTACCTGTCCTTGATCGCAAGCGTCGCCTGACTCAGTGGGACATCAAGCCTCCAGGTTACGAAAATGTTACAGCTGAACAGGCCAAGCTGTCTGGCATGTTCCCTCTTCCCGGCGCTCCTCGGCAACAGCCAATGGACCCGAGCAAACTACAGGCGTTTATGAACCAGCCTGGTGGGCAAGTCACGAGCGCTGGACTGAAAGCCAATAACTCTCGCCAGTCAAAGCGACTGTTGGTTTCAAGAATCCCCTCAGGCACAAGCGAAGAGGCCCTCATGTCTTTCTTCAACCTCCAGCTGAATGGATTGAATGTCATCGACACCACAGACCCTTGCGTCCTGTGCCAGTTCTCCAACGACCGGTCATTTGCCGTCATCGAGTTCAAAGACGCACCTGAGGCAACAGTTGCTCTGGCAATGGATGGAATATCTATGGAAGCCAGCGATGCATCGAATGGTACGGATGGAGGTCACCGTGGCCTTGAAATTCGCCGGCCCCGTGACTACGTAGTGCCTGCAGTAACTGAGGAAGTCTCCTATGATTCCGAGGTCGTCTCGAACATCGTTCCGGACACTGTCAACAAGCTCAGCATCACCAATATCCCCACCTTCTTGACAGAAGAGCAGATTATTGAACTACTGGCTAGCTTTGGCAAACCCAAGGCTTTTTCTCTTGTCAAGGACAGAGGGACAGAAGAGTCCAGAGTGAGTTCAACCTATAATACGAAAACAAGATTTTCTCTCTAACATTGACAGGGTATCGCATTTGCAGAGTACCAAGACCCCGCCGCCTCCAATCCAACTGCGCTTGACACACTCAACGGGATGGAAATTGGAGGCAAGAAGCTCAAAGTTAGCAAGGCCAGTATCGGTCCTACACAAGTCGCCAACTTCGACGTGGGTATTACCGCTATCAGTGGTCTTGCTTCTCAGACTGCCAATGAGGTTGAAAGCAGTCGAGTGCTTCAGCTTCTAAACATGGTGACTGCTGAAGAGCTGTTGGACAATGACGACTACGAAGGTGCGTGATCTTGGCCATTTTAACGAACTTCCACTAACAAAGCCTGTCAGAAATTTGCGAAGACGTTAGGGAAGAATGCTCCAAGTTTGGTAAAATCCTTGATGTCAAGGTTCCTCGACCCACTGGTGGCAGTCGACAATCCGCTGGTGTAGGCAAGATCTTTGTCAAGTACGAGAGAGCCGAAGATACAGCAAAGGCTCTGCAAGCTCTTGCAGGACGTAAGTTTGCTGACAGAACTGTCGTGACAACATATTTCCCAGAGGTAAGCTTGGACTCCTAGGTTTTGGTTATAGCGACTAACCCGACATGTAGGAAAACTTCGACGTTGGAGCGTGGTAAGAGGTAATGTCGTTTCCATTCAAGGCGACCAAGGAGACAATATGTTTGCTACCTTGGGTATATGGTTTGAGGGGGCAGGAGTCTTCTATCGGTGTACGGGTAGGGAATCAATTGAAAATGTAAAACACAGGGCATGGCAAAGCATTTGGTATCATCGAATTCAATACTACCGACCTCCGTATACATGACAAGGCACTTAAGTACAGGCCAAGTACTACAATCGTATTGATGTGAATTGGCTATTGCGGGAATGCAAGGTTCACTAAGAGGCCAGGCACATGTTGATAGATTGATGATGAACATTGGTGGGATCAAGAACAGTATACATTTCAAGATACTAACTATTTGCAAAATTTCTAATAACCCAACGCAACTTCAAGTAAGAGCAAGTAGCTCAAAGGATCTGTACTCGGTTAGTGTCGAGCCTAACAGAGGAAAGCGAGTCGAATTGCAAATAAAATGACCAGATCAGAAGTCCTGTTCATTCATTGAGCCCGAGGGCTCTAACATAAGAGGTACCAGAAATAAGTAAAAAGTGATTTATCATCATGTCGAGGTCGACTGAGACGGTATAGGGATCATTGTGACTTACCATATGATTGAAAGCTGTGTCGTAGAGCTCAGAGAGCTTTGCTTCATGTCAAGAAAAGAAAAACTCGAATTGCGCGACAGCAAGAAAAGTAAAGAAACGCGGCATCAGAGCTTGGACCATTCACGTGATCGCTTATCGATTGTCCGATAGTGGCTTATCGGGCCAATAGATTGGCATCTCGCTACCCTAACTAGTGCACACAAAAGGCATTTCTCTCAAAAGATCATTTTGCAACTCCACGACTCCAACACTGATCATCCAGCATCACCACGCCAAACCGACAAGATGGGCCGACTTCACAGCAAGGGAAAGGGCATTTCTGCCTCCGCTCTCCCCTACTCTCGCTCCGCTCCTGCGTGGTTGAAGACCACCCCCGAGCAGGTTGTCGAGCAGATCGCCAAGCTCGCCCGTAAGGGTGCCACTCCCTCTCAGATTGGTGTTGTCCTTCGCGACAGCCACGGTATCGCCCAGGTCAAGCTTGTCACCGGTAAGGATTGCGCGCATGAACTCTGAAGGCCAAAGCAACTAACAAGCAATTGCAGGTAACCGAATTCTCCGAATTCTCAAGTCCAACGGTACGGTTCCCTGAACGAATAAAGGATGAAGGATGTGGCGACGGAAACAAATACATCTACAACGGAGAAATACCATCTCCTTAATGCCTCTGTACGGTTGAGACTGACAGAGAGATTTTTACAGGCCTCGCTCCCGAGCTCCCCGAGGATTTGTACATGCTTATCAAGAAGGTACGCCAGTCATGTCAAAATCTTCCCCGTCGCACAATTCCAGGCTAACAATTTGAAAGGCTGTCGCCGTCCGAAAGCACCTTGAGCGTAACCGCAAGGACAAGGACTCCAAGTTCCGCCTCATTCTCATTGAGTCTCGAATTCACCGCCTGGCTCGTTACTACAAGACCGTCGGTGTTCTCCCTCCCACCTGGAAGTACGAGTCCGCTACTGCCAGCACCATCGTCGCTTAAACGAAGACATGACGAAGAATGGCCGCATTGATTGGTGGTGATGGTTTCCCGGGTCACGGAGTTGGGGGACAAACATGGAAAAAATTGCATTTAGAGCCATGATACTTTCTGCTCGCCCCCTCTGGGAGGATCAACAGCGACGTCGACCGCTCAAATAGAAAGCTCTTCGACCGCTGAAAGTACGCGTATGCAATGGGACATTCTCAACCCAGTGACGATAAAATTATTGAACCTGGACGCCATCTATGCCTTCCGCTACCATGCTAATTGAGTGCTATCGTGGGAAATTCTGTGATATCGTGGGTCTAGCCAGTGCCTTCCAGTTCCTTGGACTTGTGAATGAGATACTCTCCTAGCACCCGGAGAGGATCACTCGGCCTGTGATATAGTCAGTCGCCATCCAGAAAACGCAAGAAATGTGAGAACTACTTGTCTTTTGCCAATTGCTTCACGCCCTCTAACAATACTCCGGTAACTTTTGTGTTGAGATATCGTCGTGTTGAATCGCCATGAGGGGCAGCTTCGGCTGGTAGGCTGAAACCAGAATCTGGATGTGCAGAAGCAGCTCTGGAACCTTGCGCCGGAGTTCCTGTTCGTGCAGGTATGGGGCTAGGCGCATGAGTAGCTGGAGCAGGAGATGACTGTCAAGATGTTACTAGTCTGTCCTCCAAGTGGCGCCTGATACAAGAAATTGACAATCGAAGAGAGGCAAGTCCAGGTAATAAGCGGTATCTAGACAAGATGTCTCCAGGAACATATAGAGGAGAGAGAACATACTGCAGGGTGGTCGACTGGCGCATCAGACATTGTCACATCCTTCTGGTCTGAGTTATGCCCATTGACAGAAGATTCAGCTGGCGCTACAATTTGCGGTGCATCTGCTGCTGAGTCTGTTCTGGGGGTTTCGTCGGCCATTGTCGATGAGATCAGGCGATGTAAAGTACTAAAGTATTTGCGAGAATGGCGTTGTTGACTGGTACTTAACGAAGCTGCTGGGAAGTGATCCTGTCGCGCCGGCTGATTTTCGGATCAAGATAAGAGCCGATAATGTAGACACCCCGCGAGGTCATGTGCTTTCGTGTTCAGCTAGCGTACCTTGTCTTTGTCATCGCGTCCACAGCGTTCAACAACTATTCGTTAACAGTGTCTTCAACTTCTACCCTTGCCGCTCTAAATTCATCTGACATGGCACAAGTTGAATGATGGATGCATTTGTGACGAGGCTTCCCAAGCCGCCGAAACAACTTCGAGAGCAAGTTCGCGGTGACTCACCAGAAAAGGAGAGGCCTTCCAAGCGAGCCAAACGGCAGGGATCACCAGACTCTGAGGGTGGCCTATGCCCTGATCACCCCCAGGATATCTCACCGAGGGAGGATTTACCTGATCATGGAGCAGCGAAAACAAAATACCAAATTGAGGAACACTCTCGAATTACGGACATTGAGAACGCGTTACCGCCCGCTGCTGAAGGCCAAGAAGCAGTCGAGCAGTATGAGACCATGAAGTCATCACAGGCTTCGGCGCATGATGAGGATGACACCACAGAAACGCCTCAGCCACTTTGGGTCAAAGGACGAAGCTCTATTTATGTGGATGCCTTCAATCTTGCGCTTGATACTGTCCTGGAAGAAGAATCGCATTTATTTGATGAGAAAGAGACCGAGGTTTTTAACCAGTGGAGAGAACTAAATTACGAGGCTCAGTATCTGTATGCCCTATACGCATTACCACAAATCTGATACTCGCTTACATTTCAAAGCTACGTCAGACTCTTTCTGAGGAAAACTGCATCGTGGCATCGCCATAGTCGTCTTGGATATCATAACGACATCTCGGACCTTGAGGCAGCGATAGCTACCCTGCAATCGTCTCGTATTCTGCCGGCTAGCACAGCCACCCCAATACAGAGCCCAGTTCATGATCTTGAACTTGAAGAGTCGAGACTGGATGAGGCGTTCAGCTTTGCCGATAGGTCAGAAGATCACATCGATTCTGTAGAGGAGGCTGCGTCGCTGCTGAGCCTAGACGAGTTGAAAGAGCTTGCTAAGGAAGCAAAAGTCCAAGGGCGCAATAAGTCAGAACTCATTCGTTCACTAGGAAAGATGAGCAAGCAACAGTCTGGATTGATGTCGGTAGGCCTCAGCAGACACAACAGCCGTGGTTCTGTTGTCGAAGACCAGGAAAACTTGGATGCGAAAGCTAAGGGAAAGGACATCGCAAAGCTTCGGCGAGAAGATTCGAATCGAGAGCAGCATTTTCTTGAGAAAATCCTCGCAATACTTGGACCTTGCATTCGATTGTCGCCATCAGCCTTCAAGCTTTTTGAGCGGGTGCATCTTGTGTTCTATCGATCGACGGAGTGGACAGAGAAATCACTAACAACAATCATTCTTGCCAAAATTGCAAGACGGCATTTCCCTGAATACATTGTGTGCCGAACTTCGACTATATTTATGTCGCGCCTGCACCTACTAGAGTATGAAACTGCCATCCGCCTGGAGGCTGAAGTCGATGCATGGGAGTTCAGTAGTCCACCCGGAGAAGAGGGCCTCAGACTGATGGTCAACATTTTTGAGAAAGTTTACCCGCGATGGAAGATATTGGTTGAAGAAGAGCAGCATAAGGAGCACACCGTCTATGAAATGGGAGAGGGTGCTTACTTGAGACGTTTCACACCAGGCCATTCGTATACAAGAATTGTCCATAAAGCAGCACCAGTTTTTGGAAAGCTCAAACAACATCTCAGAGAGCATGAGCTGCTCACCGAGCTTCTCGACCAACGGCTATTCCATCCAGCAAGACGAGGCGGTTGGTATCAACGAAAGGCTCTTCTGGAGGAGCATTACATGCCAGCTTTGGACCCGAATCCCAAATTCACAGACCCCGAACAGCAGAAGAAACATTGGAAGAAAATCGCAGTTGCTACTTGTGAGGCCGGCCTACAAGACCCAGACAGCCATCTGATATTTCATTACGACTTGCAAAAACGCCTTGTCAAGCTAGAAAAGAAACTACGTATACCACGTCGCTTGCAACACGATTTTGGCCATGTTGATCTGCAAAAGCCTATCGAGCACACGATTAAAGGAACTCAACTCAAGAAGGATATCATAGCGAAGGGGGGTCGCCAAGTTTCAACCAAAACAATATGGCTCGATGAGCTAGACACCCAAGAGGAGTGCAGCGTTGAAGCAATGTGCCTGAGTCAATATCGATCAGAGGGTTGGAAGGGGTATCATGCTGAGGGTGGGATTATTCGCACTCTTTTCGCGTACCTCTTTTACGATATTCTCTTTTTGTATATTCCAAATGTGTTTCAGACAGCATATCAAACATGTCCGCTGGATCTTCACACTGATGCTTTCTACCCGTCCCGAGCATCAGAAATCAATCACAGACTGGTCGAGATTGCCAATGGAGAGGCTCCAC